CATGTAACAAAGAATGTCTTTTTAACAGGATGGCTGTGACATAGTTGTTCTTTTCCCCTTAAAGAAAACCAACAGAACAAAAAAGATGGAAAAATTAGTGTCTGTCTGAGCTACTAAAATCTTGCAGAAACAAACAAACATGAGGAAAAATTTCTTCACTTTGGGAGTGCCATAGCCCTGGAACAGGCTGCCCAGAGAGGCTGTGGAGTCTTCTTCTCTGGAGATACTCAAAACTTGCATGGACGTGCTCCTGTCCAAACTGCTCTAGACGAACCTGTTTGGGAGGGGAGTTGGACTAGATGATCTACGAAGGTCTCCTGCAACCCCTAGCATTCTGTGATTCTGTGAAATTCTTAAGACTCTTAGGGCTGGTATCACATATACATAATAAAGGAATTTCAGAGGCTTCTACACTTGCCAGCGGTGCTAGCTCTCATTTCTTTAAACAACTTTAAGTCCTGAAACTATTTTTCAGCCTCACAATAAAAATCCTATATTCTTCCTGTACATAAAATCCTTGTACCGATTTTTCTGGAGTGATCCATCTCTTAGTAGCCTATACAAATCTTAAGTCCGGCCTGAATTTATTACAGCTCTGCTAAATGCTACTTTCTGTAACAACTAAAATCCTGCCATTGGACAATGTACAAGAGACTTACGTCACTATCTGTAAAAGTCACCACGTGCAAAAAGCAGTGCATGTAAACACTTAGTATGACTGCACAAAAGCAGTAAGTGTTGCTGCTTAGCGTAACAGGCAATAACAGAGCTAATGAATTATCTCCAACGTTTTAAGACCTTTTCCCACTTTAAAGATCACATAGAACTGCTTCAGTTTAATGCAAACTGGAAGAATTTGGCTGCATCATCTGAAATAGTCTCTAAAATGTTAGTAGAATGGACAAATACATATTTTGGCATGCATGCAGGCATGTAAAGGATTTTAATCAGGACATATTTGTCAAAGGCATGAAATCCTGAATAGGCAATGCTGAGAAGCACTGGTGCAATCATCTGCCACATTCCAGCCCAAAGGAACTGAACTGACCACATGCTGGTAATGAATGAAATTACACTCTCTTTATAAAACATGTGCAGCAAAACCCATCCGTGCCACAAATGCCATAGCAAAGCATGCAGTTATTACTATATTTTGGCTTATTGACATGTGCTAGTTTCAGGCAAGAAAAGAGTTCATTTTCTCCACAGTGTGGACAGCTGGCAGAAGGAGTATTTCATTCCATGGTACTTCATGCTCAGTACACGTGCAGTTGTGAGGCAGGAAGTGGCCTAGGGGTTGGGTGTTGTGTCATTAAGACTTTGGCAAGCTTGATAGTTGGGTCCTCAGCTCCTTTGTTAGTTCTTGGAGTGGATGTTAGTGCTGCGGCTGTTTTTTTCTCAGTTGTTCAAGTTATCACTGTACGGCTCTGGCTGTCCAGGCTCTTGGGCTCTGACCCTCACTTCTCAGGACTTGGCTGTGTGTCGGTCACCAGGTGGTGAGCAGATTCACAGAGTGGTAGGGGTTGGAAGGGACCTCTAGAGATCATCTAGTCCAACCCCCCTGCCAGAGCAGGATCACCTAGAGTAGATCAGACAGGAACAAGTCCAGGTGGCTTTTGAAAGTCTCCAGAGAAGACTCCACCACCTCTCTGGGCAGCCTGTTCCAGTGCTCTGTCACCCTCACAGTGAAGAAGTATTTCCTCATGTTCAGGTTGAACCTTCTGTTTTCCAGCTTTTGAAAAAATGTGTCATATTTATTATTTTAATTACTGATTAGTAGTATCACTGTAATTTTAATTTATATTATTTAATGGTTCTTTTCTCAACTTCAGGAGCTTCCTTGTCTTTTCCTCTTACACACTTCCTTCTCCACTTGGCGGGGGGATGGGAGGGACGGGGGATGTGGTGGAGCTGCTGGTGAGTGAGAGGCTAAGTGGTATTCACTGTTAGCCCAGATTAAACCACGACACCACAGATGCCGACCAACTCTTGCAGGCTGGCCGCCTTCTCCCTGCCAATTAGAGTGATTTTACATTTGACTGCAGGGAGGCAGGAGTTACAATAGAAGCAGGTCAGGCCAAATTATGTGATTTTTACAATATTATTTGTCAATGTGTATTTCCTTGCTGATCCAAGTACCTCCAAAACATTATGAAAGTACTGAACAAGCCCATGGTCATGAAAAAACTGCTTTCAGTACCGCTTGCTAAAAAAGATATAGTCAACAAAGCAACCAGAACAGCAATTTCAACTGCAGAAAAAAACCACAGCAATTAATATAGCTGGCCTCTTTTGTTTCTAGACATATCCCCAGGAACACTCTTAGCAATTCTCCATATCCTCCATTTTCAAATGGGAGAGCTTTCCTGATCTTCTGCTTATGACACTTAAATTTGAGCACTTAACAGTAGCAGAAATGGCTTCTGGGGCTGTATCTACAGTGCTGATTAGCAGTTCAGAATTATCTTTACATGTCCAAATGTGTTCTGATATCTTCCTTTCTAAGTTCATTTCAATATAAATTTAACACAATGTCTGTGTCCCCACCTGTTGAGCTTCCTCTCCTATTACTGCCCACAACACAACCCAGCAGATGGTAAAAAGCTGAATGTAACCTTAACGTGCTCCAGAATTCATTCATGCCAATTACACTTCAGATATGGAAAAAAAAGGCCTTCACTCAGATGGGAAGTAATTTCAAATATTTTTAGCTTTCCATAGCACATTGCATACACTTTTACTTCTCAGGGAGGAAGCTGGCTTTTATGCGAGGATGTAATTTTTTAATACATAAATAAGCAATGCTCAGTAGACGGATGGAACTATTGGAAGATATCAAGGTGAGCCATTTTAATTCTTGGGTGAGCAGTCAAAACTACATCAAAAGACTTTCATCGAGCCAGAAATTCTGAATGGAGAAAGATCATTTCACTTAACCATGTCATATCCCAGCACTCAACCACAAGAAGAAAGTACACAGAGAGAAAAGCAGGTCAGTTGTTCTCATTAGGCATAAAGAAAGCACATTTTTACAGAAGGGGAGACCTAAAAATTCTCTAAGGCAGGCCAGGGCAGCCTTGGAATATGCCACATTAGCAGCCTCATGAGATAGCTGGAATGCTGGGGCAATGTCATGACAATGAACCTGGTGCTGCAAAATGAAAAGCCACCCTCTGCCTTCACTCTTACCAGGTCTGAAAAAGCAGTGAAGGGTAGGGCCAGAAAAGGGAGAAAGAAAATAAGAATTTGCTTTCAGTTTTAATTTAAACTCATGCCAGGGCACATAAAACCTACTGATGCCCTCCTCCTTTGTACCATGAAGGATGCTGTAAGCAGGGGATAAAAAAATCCCCTGCAGGTCAGCACTCAAAATTTTATACATGGCAAAATGAAATTACAATAAAAGCAAAGACGTCTTTACTGAACTATGACAAACAGAAGTCCCTGTATCATCCATTTAGTTTATGATACGAAGAAGTGCTTTCAATGACAGACAAGTCTGCAAGTGTCAGGTTCGGTTTGGTTTGTGCTTTTTCAGACATGATAGGCATTTAAGTATGTGCCAACTTTGTAACTTGACTGTGTACATATAATTTCTATAAACAGATGTTCATCAGCTATATTAAAAAAAATGTTAAAAATAGATACAATCCTCTAGGAAAAACATTTATTCAACTAATTTAAAGAGTAAGCCAATTAAGGCAAAATATATTACTTGGAAATAGACAGGCTTTCACTGTGTACAAATACGAGCTGCCTTAACAGTATATTGTACATAAAAATGTCCTTTGAAAGCATCTAAGAAAGGTAAAGGCAGAGCAAGAAAAGCTGAAAAACTGTTTCTTTAAGGCAAATAAAAAGTATCTGTTTATTCTTCATTTCTTAAAAAGAAGTATTATTACCAAAATATTTTCTTCAGAATTACTTCAATTATTTCTAAATAAAGACTTTTTAAGATTGTGTCAGCATGGATAGAGGGCATATATAGCCATGAAAAAAATATGACACCACTGAAGACTTAAAACAGTGAGCTCATGACATTAATAAGGCATTTAAGACTTAAAAATGTTTAGAAAACCCAGTATAGCAAAGAAAGCGATACACATCTCACCATTTTTGCATATCAAATGTCTGAGAACCATATCTTGATAGAAGAAATTAGATAATTCCATACGAAATATGAAGTTTGGAAGCACTGTACTAGATTATGTTGTTGTGACTGCTGAGATAATTTCAACTGTATGTGGTACCTGATCTAAAACCGATGGAAACAACTTGAAGTTTGTCTAGTGTTTTAATTAGACATTAGATTCACCACTGTTGCATTAAAAGAAAAAAGGGGCAGCATGGAAAATGAGATTTCAAAATTATTTAGCAATTATTTCAACTAATAGGTCACAGAGTTGTGCTCTTCTTCAGCAGCTCATTGTTATGTGTCGTAAAAACTACTCAGCATCACTTCTGAGTAGTTGTAGTAGTATCCAAGTAGATACAGCCACCAAATATGTGAGGTGTTAAGGACCACCTAAGCACAGGCCTCAGGAAAACATCTAATCGAGACAGTAATCTCTCTGGATTGAAATGCATATATAACGTACATGTCATGCTGTCAATGTGTTTGTATTTCTAACATAATAGAAATAGCTAAACAATGAACCCCTTCTTCAAAAAATTATACTAAGTAAAATAGCTCAGCAAATGCCTAGTAAGGTGTCAAATAACAGCACATTCCACTTTACAATCTGTAATGTTATTTGTTCCAGTTGTATGTTTATTCTGATTTCTTGTTTTGTGACTCATATTGGAAACCATAGAGTACTTAAAAATTGCAATTCCTCATATCCACTATTGAAAATTGCTTTAATTTCTTAAAAAGTAAAATACAGTTTACAGTTAGATTAAAAATCTGTGTTGTATCCACTGAGAATTAGAATATGTAGCTTTTACTTCACTTCTGGGATCAAAACCAGTATTCATTAGTGTCATAGATCAGTCTTCTTTCAAATGGTCTTGGGTGGTAAGTGTTGTTTGTACATTCCTACTTTAACTTTTGCCGCACTGTAGATCATCTGTCGACGGGACATGCCGGTGAATACCATGTGCCAGTCACTCCTGCTGACATTCAGCATACTCTTCTCCAGCACTTCGCCCACAGTCACCAACAAGCCTGACCATCTCAGATTGTAGTCCTGAGGAGTAAGACTCTTAGCCTGTGTAACATTTTGAGAAAAGATTATTTAAAGAGTTTGAAATGAGTAATCTTGTTTCTATCTTCACCATTATCAACTTTTGTAGCAATCATTCTTCAATTAAAACGTATCAGGATCTAAATTTCAGACTGCCTCATAATTTGCCTAGCAAATTATACTTTTTGATTACATGTATCATGATCCAGATGACATCTGAATGGTATAAAATTAAAACATGACGCTTAAGAGAGTAAAGACATTCTGCCATTACCAGGAAGTATTTTTCTTTTCTAAAGTCACCAACAGATGGAATCCATATGATACAGATTTATACAATGACTCTTACCCTCCAAAGGTTTTAAAAACAGTTAAAATGTCCCTGTGAAGCAGGCAAGTAGCCAAATACAAGAAGAAAGCTGAGCCTGGTAGAAATGGTGGACAGCTATTTGCATGAGATCAAAGAGCGATTACATAGAGTAATTCCCTGAAGTTGGAAGCAGATGGGAAACAGTGGGGGAAGTATCACTGCATTTATCTGGTCTGATGCTCACCCCAGGCAACCACCTCTGGCCACTGTCAAATACAGTGAAGGTTACAACATTTTTAGCCTCAGTAAGACTGTTCTTAGTATTACTATTCATAGCACTGCACATTGGGTCCAATTCTTCATACAGATTTTCTTTTGACAAATATTTGAGTTAGTCTGTTTCCAGTGCGTGTACAGCAGATCAAAGTTCATTAGTGTCTTCCAGCCTTCCTAAAACTACTGTCTTGCAACAATAACAGCACATATAAGTTTCTTAAAATATGTGGTCTGCTCCAATATTGAAATAACTCATTATTATCAAGAGGTACATAAAAGGCGGACTTCTTAACGAAAGCAACAGGAGATTTTCTGTATTAGTCAGATATAGAACATACTAGCAGTAAGAAGTAAGTAATAGCACATCTAGCTGAAAGTAGGGACTGAACTATTGCACATAACGTCATAAATGAATTATTTGATATTTTTACTGCTTTAAAAAAAAATCAGTAAACTTAAAAATTTAAAAAACTCAAACTTGCAGTAGTTTTCCATCATGGTTGCAATTTCTGGTCAACAAAAAACAAGATGACAACTGGTCTCTTAACAGAAAAAGGTTCTCAGAAAAAACTCTCAAACCAATCTTTTACCTCCTCAAATCAAGCAAAGTTTAGAGTTATAGACAGCCAGCAGTCTCATATTAGGTGATCAGAAAACTTTATGCCATTGCTAAAGACACTAACAGAACAGAATCTGTTCTGTACAGACAGCTCTACGATTAGTTTCGTTACAATGAAAAGAACATTACGTTTCATTACAATTTCAAAGAACATAATTGCTTTCCATGTTGTCTCTATTAAATCTTTTGTATTGTGAGTAACAAATAACATTGCCTGTCCAACACACATTTCTTCTCTGTTCTTAGCCTGAAATACAACTGTACAATTGTCAGGTTTCCTGCTGTTATAATCTAGATTTTGCTTAAAGATATTGGACGGCAGTTACACAAATCTAACTGTTCCTTGCACACTCCTGAGAGAACCCAGCTTGATTCTAAAAAAGGGAATCAACTTTTTAGGGAACAAAGGTAACAACTCTTGCACACACACAAAAACCTGGTGATTCACCACCACACATTATGCTTAAGTCAACTGAATATGTAATAGCAAGACTAGGAAAAATTTAATGCTGAAGGTATGAAACAAAACTATGTTTTGCTGTAGGTGCATATGCAAGAACAATTTTCTTTAAATAGAGCAGAATTCGATCTAATTCAGGTTTAAAGGCTTACAGTTCCAATGAAATGTACTATACACCAAGCTATACACTAAATGCATTGCGTAAAAGTTAGAACAAGAATAATTTCTGCTACTACAAGGTAAACACTATTTTTCAAAGTTAAAGTGTATTTACCTAAGAAAAAAAAAACCCAAACTTTAAAAGTTAAGCTATTAACTACAGTTTTTAAATTACAAAACAAAGAATATTCTGTCAATCAAAAATTAAATATATCTATTCTGCTTTACGTTTAGAATATCACTTAGTTCAATGCTTCATAGAGAATGCGACAATCACTTAAGCAGTAACTTCACAATCCTGTGCCTATTTTCATAGCATCATAGAATGGTTTGGTTTGGAAGGGACCTGTAAAGATCATCTACTCAATGAAATTGTATCCTCTTAATATTTTTTTCCTATAGCTTCATCTCTTTCTCCAAAAGCATCTCTTTCAGAAGCATCTGGGAACACTACAGAGAGACAGCAATGTTTCTCCTTTTGCCACTCATCAGCTTTTCTAAGTTTGGAGAACTCTGAAAAACAAGAACTAAAACTAGTCCCACAAATGTTCAACTCTATTGGAATTGGTACTACTGAAAAAAAAATTACTAGTTACTCTTTGTTTTCTCAAAACAACCTCCTAAAAATCAAATCCCCAGCAGTTTTATTTTGAAATTCTTCATAGAAACATTATTTTAAAATAATTTTGAGATCAGAGGTAACTAATGTATGACTTATATCAGGCAACATGCAGTGACTGGAGTTGGGAGTAATTCCCAGTGCATGCCCAGAGAAATGAAAACAATCTCAGAAAAAACTTCCATTGGTGATATTTAAGAACTGCACAGTATTGCATTATTTTCAGTGGGATGAACCATGATATTTCCAAGATTTAAATCTTTCCATTTCAGAAATTTCACATCTCTGTCAGAATAGCACAGTCAGAAGAGAAAAATCAGTCTTGCCTTTTAGGTGAGAGTCTATGTCCATGATGGAATTAAGTCCAAGCACAGATCTGAAGAAGGGATAGCCTTTATTTATCATAAATGAGTTGTCAGAATACTAATTAGTACACTATGCTACCTTTTTGCTGGTAATTAACAACATAATACTTATGAGGCTTATGAGCTTTGTTAAAAATTCAGTGGTAAGATCTCAATATATTAACTTGTGCCTAAATGAAGTGTAAGCTACTTCACTGAATAGCTAACATGTACATGTGTGCACAGTTCCTGATTACACAGTTTTGTTGGCATTAGACAAAAATCCAATACATCATGTGCAAGGTTCTGCACATGGGTCAGGGCAATCCCAAGCACAAATACAGGCTGAGTGGAGAACGGATTGAGAGCAGCCCTGAAGAAGATGTCTTGTTTGGCAAGAAGCTGAACATGACTCAGCATTGAAACCAAACGTATCTCAGGCTACATCAAAGGAAGTGTGACCAGCAGTCCAGGGTGGTGGCTCTCCCCCTGTACTCCACTCTGGTGAGACTTCTGTGGGTCTCACCCACGTGGAGCATTCAGCTCTAGGGCCCCCAGCAGAAGGAGGACATGGACCTGTTGGAGCAAGTACAGAGGAGAGCCACAAAGATATCAGAGGGCTGGATCAAAAATTGCTTTGCCACAAATGCCTAAAGATTTTTAGGTGATACATAAATATACTCAAAAATAGTTTTTATCCTCATTTCATTAATTAATACATTCAAGTGGAGCTGCTGTTAGTAAGAACTGTCATATATCAAATTAAAACTTGTCTTACATCTCAGCTATTAATCCAATGGTGCCAAGAAAACTGAAAACTTACCTTTTTTTTACATACTGCAAAGGCACTGGTGTTGCTTGGGTAAAAGCTTCCAGATGAATTCCATTAATTGGATCCTCAATAATCAGACATCCAATGTCAAACCACCTGCAGTGATGTGCAAGTTACTTTAGTGTAGCGAGTATGAGTCAATTGAAAAAACAGGATATTAACAGCTGAATTATGACCATTTTACAAACTGTACTACAAATGTAGTAATAATGTAATAATGAGTTATAATGGGCTGCACTAGGAAAAGTGTGGCCAGCAGGTTGAGGGAGGGGATTCTGCCCCTCTACTCTGCTATTGTGAGACCCCACCTGGAGTACT